GCAGGAACAGATAATGTCATTCTCAGTCCATGTCTAGTTTTGAGAAGTTCTTTTCTTACTGTGTATTAAAAATAGTTTTCTGCTGGAACAAGCAGGGCGGTCCAATATGCCTGCTGCATTTCATTATGTCGATATGCAGTGCCTGCATTCTCGTTAGCTGGTGCATGCGTACCCTTACTTATTTGTACTGGGTTGCTGGATCATCTACCAGGAAAGGTTACATCTATTTTTAATGGGTGTTTTTTCAGATTCAGCGACATGCTCAACTTCTTTGTTGCTATAACATTGAAATCTCTTTATACTCTTCCGACAGTCTGAAAAAGTTTAATAACTTCCACATTTTTGTTCCACAGTTCAGATAGAGACATTAGTGAGCTGAGCTTGATAGCTTCAAATTCATAACAAATGTTCTTGAAACTATGAACTTAATCTCTTTATGCACACAAATGTGGGGTCCTTGTGCTCTCTGAACTTGTTTTCTTGCCAACCTTTCATTGCCCTAACTAAGTAACATCATCAGTGCTAGTAAGGAGGCCTGTTTACTGTCAGTTTATATTTTGGTGTCTTGCCTGTCTGTGTGGGTGGGGGCGGTCTTAGAGATTCTTTGGTTCAGCTGTTTACTGATGGCTCTTTGGCAGTTTCTTGATTAAGGTATTACTTACTTGATTGTTGGTCAGAAATTAACCTTGGAGTTAATCTATGCTGATCTGAGTGCTGATTACTGGTGAAAAGATGGTGAAGTCTTTTTCTCTTTTGGGCTGGTTGAGTGCCTCTTTTGCATAGTCTATATATGTTGTTAATGTCTATGTGTCTGTTGATGGCTGATTTATCAAAGTGCCAGGCTTCTAGAAATTTGCTGGAATTTTTGGACTTGGCCTGGTCTAGGATTGTCACATTTTTCCAGTTGAAATTATGGTGAAATATGTCTATATGTTGTGAAATTAAAGAATTTTTGTCATGTATTTTGACTGCCAGTTGGTGTTCATGGATGTGTTCTGCCAATCTGTCCTACATAGTGGTTGTTGCAGTCCTTAAATTGTATGTTGTAGAATGTAGAATGTAGAATGTACATTGTAGAATGTAGATGACTCCTGTTTTTTCTTCTGGGGTTGCTGGGTCTTTGGAGTACTATCACTACATGGAATCAACGTAGCACAGGAACTAAGAAAATCCCTTCAAAACAACTTAATGAAACCAAAAGACCTTGTTAATGACTTTGAAAAATGATTATTTGGATCAGAGACATAATCCTCCATCTGCAATTTGAAGTGGTACAATCAAACCCTGAATAATTTTATCAATCTTAGTGTTTTGTGTAATTATTATAATCTGTCGATGAACAGTTTGCTGTGGCAATTTCAGTTAATATTTGTAGACTTTGGTGACCTTTATAATTAGATATAGGAATGGTGGGAGGAAATTTAAAATTTAAAAAATTTGTTAATACAGTTCATATGTCACTCAATTTCTAGAGTTTCTAAAAAATTTAAGGGACTAATATGGTAAATTTGGAACAAAAGTTCAACTAAAAACCCAACTAATACAATTATTCAATCAATCTGATACACCAATATGATATTACTCATCTCTAAATCCCTTACTGAAGAGGAATGTTACTATGGATTCTTTGAAAATGTGGTATGTCAGCAGTTCCAAAGAAGAGGAAGTGTCATTGTGGAGAAGACTCATCCTCAGATACCCCAAAGACAGCAATCTTATGGTGGTAGAGTAAATCTAACCCTAACCCTTCAGCAAGTATAAAGCCTCCTGATCCATAGAAGACAACAACTGATACACAAGATATAATTGTGCCAATTGCTCAAATAAAGCAATAAGTGTGAGGTCCTTGGGGTCCTCGTTCAACCCCAAAAGCTAAAAAGGAAAAAAAACAAAATAAATCTCCTCACCAGCAATCAAAATCTAAATAAGAAGAGATTAAACCAAGGTTAACATTAGACTAACAATCAAGAAACAAACAATACCCCAATCAAGGAACTACCAATATCACTCTCACCAACAGACAGGGGAAGCTACTAATATATAAAATGAGCAAACCTCACTACTAGCACTGACGATGTTACCTAACGAAACTTCTGCAAGAAAACAACCGAGCATAGAGAACCGCAAGAGCCCCACAGATGGATGATTGGCATAGATAAATGATTGAGAGATTATGATAGGTAGATGATAGATCTACAATATGAAAATGGGAAATTAATTTCCCAGAGTTAAATATTAAATTCTAGCCCTCATTACTATAGCACAAAAGCATTAACTTTCATTTGCTGGCAAACCTTTCAGTTTATGTTTATTCTTTAGGAAATATACCATTGTATTGAACTTCCTTCAGGTCTTGTACACTATTGCCATCTATTGGTAAGACTCGGAATACAAAAAGCTAAGACTGTACTTAAATATCTGATCAAAAAGCTAATAATATCCCTTGCCTTTTGGTAACATTTTGTTTGTTTCACATCTCCTTTTAAAGTTGGAAGAATTGTCATTCATGTTAGTTTGACCATCCATTCCAGTTACCTATATAGTTTAATATAAAGGCATATGAATATAACCTCCCCTTTCCATATCCATAAGAGAACAGGATAGAGGAACAGGCAGCCAGTTGTCTTTCAATTGCCAGCTTTTACTTATCCAACACATAAATCTGTCTGAGTCTTCTGAAGCCAGATTCACTTATCATCAGGAATGACTTGATGCCAGCATGACCCCAAAGCAGGCAGAGGGCTGCAGACTTTTTTCTCAAGTTGAACTTGGAATCCACTCCTAAGAAATTGTTGGATCTTAAAGGTGACCCAAATCCTTCCAGTGTGCTGCTGTGAACTTGTTAGTGTGCCCTTCCTAGGCCCCTAAAGTAGCCTGGATGAATTGAAGCCTGCTTCACCTTTGCAGCTGAATGAGAATCACAGAAAGCAATAGTGTAGTAATAGTTCTATGGGAGGCCCAGTTTGTAATATACAGTTCTACTTATGTTTAATTTTGACCAATAGAACATATACTCACCTGTTTGTAAAGAGGAGTGAGCTGAAACCTCAGCTATTGTTCCCAGCAGCAGAATCATTTTCATTACACACAGACACAATTCATTTCACACAAGGGAAGGAATTGACTGAATCCAAACAGGAGTAGCTAGTGAGACCATCAGCTTCATTGTATGAACATGGTTTCCTGAAGAAAGGAAGGTTTCCAGGTTCACTTTCAGGCATCTCTCAGTACTCCATGGAATTACACAACTGAATTTTAAAATTGTATTGCTAAAGTGGTGTGTTGGTGAAAACAGTGATATAGCAAATGAAACATATAATTAACAGGAAAATAATTTGATTTTTATTTTTTCACATTATCAAGTACACATTACGTCACACATCCCTATATATGAGTCTATGTAATTTGTTTTTTAATTTTTACATAGTGTACAAGAGGGAAGGACATCAAGTACTTCACAAGCATTATACAGAACAATTCTTTATATTACGTCCTTTTAATGTACCATTTTAAAACATGAAACTTCAACATCAATTTTATAGTGTTTGCTAATCAAATAAAACTAGTTTATAACTAATGTGAATACATTAACAATAACTAGTTTTCATTTGCTTTTTATATAGCCACATTGTGCAAAATCCACTGAACTGATAAATTCTTAATTGCTTTTTCTACATTGCCAAAATTATGCTTCAATGTATGTATTTATGATTCCAGGTGGTATTAGTGAAATAGAAAGTAGCCAAATTTCTTATATCTGAAATTTGGCAATACTTCTGGCAATACTTCTGAATATTGCAAAAGTTAATAGATAGCTTGAAAATTATTTCTGTGCAAAGTAATCTATGTAGGACTTCAATTAAAAAAATGAGAAACCTACATTCCATGGATAACTGCTGGATCTTGAAAACACTTGCTTTAATAAACTGAGGTACTTTTAGACCTCAACCCTGCAAGTTATCATCACAATGAAAAAGCTTTAACTGGTTCCATACAATTTCACATGTTCCACTTAATGTATGACAGTATAATGTGCACACTGTAGCTGTGTGATTTAGAGCTCAAGAGCTTGCTCAGCAATAATTTTTTACCAATGTTTTCTAAAAATTTGGTGAACATGCAACAGTTCATACACATTAAAAAGTCAGAAACAAACATAATTCCACATACATCTTACAGTTCATACAAAATAAGATGTTAACATTAAGCCTTTTTGTTTGCATCACAACTATTTGTATTATAATTCTAATTTTATATTAAAATGAATCACCCAGGGAATATCGAGCTATGTGAAGGAATGTACGTTCACACATTATAATCTCTGACAATGTAATATATGGTATAGAACTGATGACTTGGAATCCTTATGTTTCTGATGAAAGGAAAGGAGGGAGGAGACATGGGAAAGCATGAGGCAAAATTGCTTAAACTTTTGTTCACTTTCAATACATTTGATCAATGAATTCTAGGAACCAAAGTTAGGGAGGACAAATGAGAAAAAGCAAGCTAAGAGAAGTTAATCAGAATATCATATTTTTAAAAATTAGCTTTGATTTCACTTGAAATGTGAAATGTTTTATTCATCAAGTTTCCAACATGCTTTATTATAAACTAATGAAACACTTACTGTGAAACAGACTGAAGCAGTTTAACTTAGCAATAATTTTAAAGCATACAGTGGTCATTCAACATATATCCATAAGTGTATAAATGGACAGAAATTATGGAATAATTAAAAAGTTACTGCTTAATAGCCATAGGCATGAATGTCTAATTCCTTCCTTCTGAAATTATTTTGGTAAGGAAAATTCTGTGACCCTAAAAGAATAAAAAAAGATTTTTTAAAAAAACTGGAAGAAAATAAATATTTCTTTAAAATGACCTGCTTCTATTATTTATTCCTCCACCTGTTCTCTTTCCAGATGGTTTATCTTTGAAAGCTGTCCAAAGATCTAGGTAGATAAAAATGAGACCAAACCAAAAATTCCATACAGTTAGAGTCTTGTAATAAAACTGCATTTAATTTGGAATAAACCTAGCAACAGTCAATTGAATATCTGTTGTCAACAACTGAAACAATATGTTTCAAAAATACAAGTACATTTGCAATACAGAACAAAAAAAGCAGAGAAGCAGATAATGAATACTTAATGAACAAGTGCCTCAAGTTTTTCTTTAAAATTCACCCTATTGAAAATAAATGCTCCCAGCAACCAATGTATTTCTTACATTATGGAAGTATTCAATACTATAAAGAAATAACTTCAGTATTGGAAAAAAGTTAAATAACCACTCAAATGAATGTAGTAAGTTCCTTAAATACCAATGGGACAATCAAGTGGATCCTATTGTACAATGCAGTATTTTGACATTAATTCTGCTCTGATTTTTGAACAGCCCTCTATATGACATCTTTGAGCGAATTAGAAATTTAATTTATGTCAAAACTGAATTGGCATGGCAGGCAAACATTTTGAGAATTAATGTAATTGAAAAATTCAGTATAAGACAAAGTTTACTTTATTAAATGCAACTTTATTGTTGCCATCTTTCCTCATTTATTAAACAAACGAAAGATAATTCAGAACACACTAATGAACAAAATATATAAAAGTCAACTAGAAGCAATATTCCTATCTATATACAGCACTATATCAAATGCACAGTATTTCATTTGTAAGATCTGCTTTAAAATACAATGACTGCCTAAAAAGCAAATCTTTTACACCCTTCCCAAATCCCTATCTTTGAATCCTCATGGTAACCCAATGTCTTTATGATGCCGCAGAATGTGTTGATTCTTCTCTGAAGGCCTTCGAAAGCCTTTTTTACAGAATTCACAACGGTGAGGATAGTCTTTTGTATGAATGGAAATAACATGCCGCTTGAAACCTGAGGCATCTGTAGTGCTATATTCACAGTACTCACATTGATAAACTTTTCTACCACTGTGTGTTTTCATGTGTTTTTTAAGTTCCATTTGCAGCTTGAATCCTTTCTTACACCTCTTGCATCTGAACGGAAGATCTTTTGTGTGAACTGAGAGAATATGACGGCTCAGAACAAATGGATCTGCAATTTTAAAGTCACAATGTCTGCACTGGTGCAGCTTTTTCCCTTTGTGCACTGCAACGTGTTTTTTCAGTTCTGAAGGCCTATGAAAGCCTTTATCACACATGTCACACTTGTGGGGATAGTCCTTTGTGTGAACGGAAATTATATGTCTTTTTAAATCACTTGAGTTTGAGCTTTTGTGATCACAGTGCAGACACTGGTGTGTTTTGCTTTCTTGATGCATAAGAATGTGCTGTTGCAGCTCTTTGGTATCAGAAAATATTTGAAAACAAATGTCACACTTGAATGGCATTTCTTTACTATGCCGTGTCTTTACATGAGTTTTCAGGTTAGAAGAGTCAGCAGATCTATACTCACAATATTGGCATTGATAGGGCTTTTCACCAGTATGGATTCGCATGTGTTTCTTGAGCTCTGATGGATGTCGAAATCCTTTTCCACATTCCACACAAATATGAGGAAAGTTTTTGCTGTGTACAGCTAGAAGGTGACGATTCAGCAATCCCTGTTCTGCTGTTTCATACTCACAGAATTTGCACTTGTACATTTTGTTTGCTGCTTTGTCCCTATGCACCATCTTATGTGTAAACAAAGCTCCTGCGTGAGAGAAACTTTTCCCACATTCATCACATTCAATTAGTTTCTCAGTCTTGGTAGTAAGCTTGTGGCTCTCAAGATGATTATGCAGACTTAACTTTTTATTTGTAGTGTAATCACAATCAGTGCATCGATATTTTTTCTTAGCAAGAAGGTGCTCTGGGTGATTTTTCATGTGTCTTTTCAAGAAGCCTCTGGATTTAAATTTCTTTCCACAAATCATACAAGGGTAGACAGTCAAAGGATGGCCATCAGGCCCAATAATTATGGCTGCATAATAAAAAAAGAAAAATAATAATAAAAATGGCGTCTACTAGATACCTGGTAAGCACTAGTGTAATTGCACAAAAGTTACACATTTTAAGTTCCTATTAGTTTTGGTAGCAAAATTAAGCACATGCTTAAGCTTCATATTGAAATACATAGGATACCAACATCCTGAACACTGCTGTAATTACAAATTAAGTTCAGATCAATTAATTGTCAAGAAGTAATTACAATGGTATGTCAGCTTTCTCTCTCAAAATTAAAAATCTTCCAACAGAAATATGGCTTAGAGAATTTAAATAATTGGAAGCAATGTCAAGCGCCAACATATCACTTAATTAGACAAATTAACCCTGTGGAAAGGAATATCTTAATATGTCAGCAATTGCAACATCTGCATTCTCTCAAAGGAATCTTGTGAGAATGGATATATTTTCAAGTAATGAATCATTTCTGGCATATTTGAAGATAATACTCTCCCAAAAAAAACATATACACAGGTATACACATGTGCTTCTTTATATTGATGCAAAACATCCATCAAGACAGAAGCTGAAGATAGTATGTTACTTTTAAATAAGCAATCAGTCTACCAGTCTACAACCCCAATAAAGCAGCAATATTACACAAAACTCCCACCAGGAATGTGGGAGAGCAGATAGATGGCTGTACCTTTAAAATGCTAATGGAGAATGCATTTCCATTTCCAATTCTATTTTCAAGCAAACAGAAGCTGAGTTATTACCTGTTTGATATTGTCTGGATTCCAGTCTTCTCCTTTTCTTTGGCTTTTGTTTTGTTAGCCTTCCAAGACCAGAAGACTCATCTATATGCAAGAGAGCACTTGCAGTTCCATTTCGGTTTTCAACTGCATCATTATTTCCTAGTGTGGATCAGAATTTAGCATCCTAAGGATTAGTCCACATACTATCTCTGAAAATGATTTTTATATTTTTAAAAGGTAAGTCTGAATAATCACTTTGTGTTAATAAATATATTTGGATATCTTTGTAGTCAACAAAGACAGTAAGATTTAGATTTTAAAAAACCAAGCCTCCTTCTATTCAGTGAATTATTCACATGTAGTTTTTTGCCAATATATATCTATATCTTTCTCACTGTCCTCACTGACCATGGAAAGAGCCTCAAGAATTATACATACATATTCACAGCATGAATTTAATCACATCATGACGAACATACAGGTAGAAAGAATACTGTAAAAGATAGATGCTCTTGGCAAACAGACACCATAGAATCCAATTACCAGAGTCTATTTTTCCAAGGCCACTGGAAGATGCATGTAAATATTGCTGCCATATGGCTGATTGTAAGTCAACTAGCGATCCTCCACCCTTATGGGATGAGAGTATAAAAATATCTCCATATTGATGCATGTAAAAAAAATGGACCCAGGCTGGAAGTTCCGATGAAAAGAAAAGTATAATTAACATTACAAAAATCTAAATTTTATAGGTGGTCTGTAAACTTCATTTTTACTTACCTGATTCAAAATATTGAGTAAAATTAACAACTGCCAAGTCTCAAGATTTGAAAAAACTCTCCTTCTCTCTAAGGTTGAATAAATTGCAGATTTTTGTAAAAAAAGAGATACTACATTGTTTTTTTAATTTTTACTACTATTCTATAACAGAAATAGAGTTGATTTCTTATTACAATGGTCTTCTTAATTCCTGTAGTTTCAAATAAACCATAAATCATTTCAACGAAGAATCAAATAATATATATGTACTCACAGAGATGGGATTGAAATTTTTTTAGCAACTGGTTTTCTGCTTGGTTGCTGGGTGGGCGTGACCATGGGAGTGTGGCCTACTAAGCCTCCTGCACCATGATGTGGCGGCGGGGGGGGGATTATTTCCCCCTCCCCAGGCTCTGGAGTCTTGCCTTGAGCTTCCGGGAGGGTACAAATGGCCTCCCCTGGGCCCCGGAGGACCTCTGGAGATCGGAAATGGGCTCATTTTCAGACTTCCAGGAGGCCCGTTTTTCACCCTCCCAGAGCCTCCACGTGGGCCCTGCACTTACCTAGCATGATGAACAGGCTGCGTGGAGACTCCTGAAATGGGCAGAGCGGGGCCAGTCAGTCCTTCCAACTACCGATTCGGGGAACCAGATGTAAAATTAGCATCCAGTTTGCCTGAACCGGTTGAATCCCACCCGCTCTTGTATGTAAATCCTGGCAGAAATACTGAACACCATCCCAGAAAGATTACTTCAATTTTCTGAATACAGAGGACCAGAAACCAATATCCTTACTTGGTAATCATTAATTTTTGGGAGTAATGACCTACCATAAGCTGCTGCCCAAGCTATTGGCATAAAGCTTTTGATTTCACTGTCATCAATTTGCTGTTCATGAGTTGCTGCTGCATCTTCCTCTCCTACTATCACTTCCATATAGACTTCGTCAGCAATTTCAGCAACATCTATTAGAAAAAAACATGTTATGTGTTTTGTATATTTTTTAAAAACCTTTAAAACCTTTAACTCAAATGAAGGTCACATACTTACTTAAATCTTCATCTTCATGCTGAGAATCATTTACTGTCATATACACCATTTTTTCTCTTGGAATGCGAACACTACTATTTTGGTTAATTAAAGTTTCACCATGGTCATTTTCAGATTCACTTTCCACAATGTCTACTGTGCCTCCTATGTTAAAAAGAATTATCAACATTATTTGTAAGAATATGCTTCAAAACACTATGGTTCAAATTCAAGAAACAAAAAAAAATACAGTAACATAAATTTTTAAATGGTGCAAGAGAAGCTTTTGTCAAGTAGACATTTAGAAAGAACGGAGTAAAACAAGAGGGATATTATGAAAATCCTATTAAAATATAAGCTTCATTATATTAATTTAGTAAATGTGTATTGGATCATAGACTAAGTGCATAGTCTGTATTTTTACAAATTGAGATAAATGACCAAAATTTCATTTGGGGTGACAGATTGACTGGTCCAAAGTCACTCAATCTGCTTTTGCACATAAGAGATGTATAGGCCAGAACTTTAATAATAATAATAACAACAACAACAACAACAACAACAACAACTGCTGTAAAAAAACCCGCACAGACTGATTATAAATTGCAGCACAATTCAGTAGCACAAATGATCCATTGGAATTTGTGCAAAAATTATAATATTAAAACAGCAACAAACTGGTGGGAACATCAGCATGAAAAAGTCACCGAAAATCAGATGGTCAAGATCTTGTGGGATTTCCGTATACAAACCGACAAAATACTGGCGCATAATACACCAGACATCACACTGGTTGAGAAAAATAAGGTCACAATCATAGACATCGCAATACCAGGTGATAGCAGGGTCGCCGAGAAGGAACATGAAAAAAATTGCAAAATACCAGGACTTAAAAATCGAAATTCAACGACTATGGCACAAACCAACAGTGGTAATTCCAGTGGTAATTGGCACACTGGGTGCTATTCCAAAAGCACTGGAATTACATTTAAAACAGTTAAAAATTGACAAAATCACCATCAGTCAAATGCAAAAAACTGCACTGCTGGATCTGCACGCATATTACGAAAATACATTACGACGTCCTAGGCCCCTGGGTGGGGCCCGACTAGTAACCAATGCCAAATCCGGCGAAACAACTGGCCGCTGTGATACAATTCTGTTGTTGCGATAAAATAATAATAATATAATGTGCAGTTGTTAGGGATGCCATTCATAGCATGTTTCAAGATTCTTTTTCGCTTTTAGTATGACAAATTCTCAGAACATTTCTTGAGGATTCAGTTTTCATCTTGAGACCTCCAAGCATCAAAATATTAATTTTTTCTTTCATTTAAGAAAACCTCACCTATGTCATCTTCTCCAGGATCAGCTTTGAAAATGTAGACTTTGATGACTTCTGGGCAAATGCCATCCATTTTACATGGATCACTTTCTGACTCAGATTTAAGGTCAACAGAATTGTCAGCTTCTGTTTTGACAGCATCATCCACTACAAGAAAATCAACAATATTATCACAATAGCATTCCTCTAACATAAATTACAAGCATTTCTTATGTGTTTATACATTAAAACCCAATGGCAAATCAATTATTTGCCAAGCTTTCTATTTATTCGCACATATACTTTATTTCCATGGTATTCTATTATTTTCCCTTTAACTCCATATTCCTACAAAACACTTTCTTTCTCATGTTATACATTTTTCAATACCCATTAAACAGAAATCTGGTGTGTATCCAATCTGGTCAGCAAAATGCTGCACCATACTTGCTAAATTTTTCAGAATTCCCTTATTTTGAGTTTTATCCCAAATTATTGCATAACTTCTATTTTTAATTCCAATTAAAAGAATTCTTGTTTAACTTCTGCAATCCCAAAACCTTTTATTTCAAATCTGTCTGCATTTTCTGTCTTTTAATCATAACCATTTCTTGTATTTTTATTACGTTTTTTGCAATTGTTTTTCTCTATACAGAAATAATTATACATACATACATATTCCCATCCATAGCCTTTCACCTCACAATTACATAATCCTTTCATGTACTTCTCATTAGTATAACTCTTCACTTAATTCCTTCCATTTTTTCCAAGACATTTCCATATTTTTCCTGATGTCCACTTTCCATTCTTTCTATTGTGAAATAAATTCATTTTCTAATGTTTTACAAGCAGGCTTTGTAGTTCTTGCAGTCATTCTATTTTCCCTTGTTTCTTTTCTTCCCAAGATTCACTACTCATGCTAAAACTCACTTGCTAACTCCAACCCTAACCCTAATAGTCTGCTCCTCATTCAATACTTCTCATCATTTTTGTATTCTTCACTAAGCCTCTCAATGTTTCACAATGAACTATCTATAAATCAATCCTTGAATAGGTAAATGTGAATGATCATGCTTATCTTGTTTCTATCATCTATTCATGTCTCTTAATAGAATTTTTAACACACACACACAATTATATTATTTTTGAATGTTAATTATTCTATTTTATTTTATATTATTTTTATATTTTATATTATTTTGCAATATTCTTATAGACAGACTAGGCTACACAAATAGTATAAAACATATCCAACTTTCTGATAAGAGTCTAAGAAAAAGATTAATACTGTGAGAAACTTTCACCTAGCGCAATAGTAAGAGGCATTCACATCAAATCATAACAAATATATTTATAATTTCCACAAGAAAAATAGTAAAGTATATTTTTGGGAAACAAGGATTATAATACGCTCTGCATCTGGCAAACAATAGTACTACAATACTAAGAAAAAGGCAACAAAGCACATTATCACTATCTTGCAAAAGACATTGAACTCAGCAATAAACTCAAATCTTATGGAACAGCAAATTTGCATGTTAATCAGATACTAATAAATTTCTTTGTAAGAACTGTATTTGCCTAGAAATATTAGACACAATTACAGTGTACACATTTATAAAAAGTAGTTCTCAACTTAGGAAATAGTTCTTTCCCCCCCCCTATACCAGTTACAGGTAGTTGTCGACTTACAACCATTCATTTAGTGGCCATAGTTACAATACTGAAAAAACAACATGACTGTTTTTCACACAACCATTGCGGGATCACCATGGGCATGTGATCAAAATTCAAAATGACACCTGGCAACTGGCCTGTATTTATGACATTTGCAGTGTCCTTGGGTCATATGATCTCCCTTTGCAATCAATGGGGAAGCCAAAGTCACTTAACAACCACCTTACTAACTTAACAACTGTAGTGTTACACTTAACAACTGTGGCAAGAAAAATGTAAAATGGGGCAAAATTCACTTAACAACTTATTTCTTAGCAATGGAAATTTTGGATTCAATTGTGGTTGTAAATTGAAGATTACCTGTATATTTCACCCTCCCACTTCATTCTTCTTTTGCTAACATATTCACTACGCACCTACTGTTCATCATTGTATACTTCCCCTATTATTTTCTGATAAAAAAAACAAAAATCAACATTTCTTCAATTTTTAAACTGTTGCCAATTAGCTCTTAACTGCTGGCAACCATTCAAACAGAGAAATGTATTTAATATATCCCTATACAGATTCTTAAACAAAAGCATCTTAGACCTAAAATTATTGAAATCCAAGAATAGATTAAATATATAACCTTTATTCATTAAAAAGATGGAAGAAAGGAAAATAAAACAAAAATAACAAAATTTACATATAAGGATTATCCATAAAAAGTTCTGAATTTCCAGTAGGAATTAAACAATGTAAGATACTATGAATAAGTGTAAACTAGTAGTCTATCAGTCTCAACAACATATATTATGATCTTAATAATGACAGGTGTTAAGTGATGGATTTTGTACATTAGTTCAAGGCTTGCAGCCCAATGATCAAAGAATGATAGGTAATTGATGCAGCAACAAATAGATATTTTAATAGTACGAAAGTTAAAGGTAAAAGCTTCCCCTATCCAGTTATGTCTGACTCTGGGAGGAAGAGCTCATTTCCATTTCCTAGCCCAAGAGCCAGTGTTGTCCAAAGATGCTACCATGGTCATATGGCTGACATGAGTATATGCTGAGGCGCATCGAAAACTGTTGCCATCCCACTAAAGTGGTACTAATATCCCAATGAAATGGGAATGTTCACTGCAAAATCTTTAAAAAAAATAATGTTAAAATCATAGGCATGGATACTGATGCTGATTTTATTATTTTAACTTTAAATTATTTATTTTTAACAACAAAACTGTTTTTGTTACCAAACAAATTATTTTTATATTAGGCCACCAGAAGCTAATTCAATTATTATGTAGAATGGTAATAGAGTTAAAATGTGTTGGTTACATTCCCAACACATGAAATGTCAGGATGTAAAACTGCCTACATGTTGTACTGATTAGCACTGCAAAAACCCAAGAACAAAATCAATGGGATAGCCTGGATGAAAAATTCTGTAGTTTAAACTGCAGTCCTGAAAATAGTTTACCCAGACACTTACAGGAAATCATCAGGTAGTCTTCACAGTTGTTTTTTTCATCATTATGCTCCACAGATATTCCACTGGCATCAATTACAGCTTCAGAAGCACAGTCTGCCACTAAAACTTCTGAAACTACATCTTCTCCAAGAGAATCTGTAACAATTTCTGCTTCTACAACATTATTATGGTCATGAACATGTTCCATACGTTCAATATCAGGTACATGTATTGATTCATTTGTGAGTACATGTTCAGGTATTGCCATTGCTGAAGCTGTAATTTCAGATGATAAAACATCTTCGGGAACACTGCAGTGTGACAAAGACACTTCTTCAGTGACATCAGTGTCCAGCACTGGTTCAGGAATAATAACAGTTTGAGATACATTTGTATCTTCTATGATATCTGGACACTGAACATCTTCTATAACAACGTCCTCAATGATATCTTGAATTACTACAGAATCTGGATCATCAGGGACAAAATTATGTACAGCTATATCAGAATCTTCTACATCTGATACATATACAGTTTCCTGTATTTCGACAACAATTTCATCTCCGTTCAAATGCGTTTCATCAGCTCCTGGAATATATAAATTATAATCGGTTCTATATTATCATAAATCTTAGTTGAGGAAAAATCAGCAAATTTTGATTATGATGTAGCAGGGATATCTCTAACATGATGTAGCAGGGATATCATCTAACAGAAACAAATTTGATCTGAAGGGCTTTATCTTGATCCATTTCCCAGGTGCAAATCATGGAAGTCATATACAGATAGTCCTCAACTTATGACCATAATAAGACCAAAATCCCTATTGTTAAGTGAGACAGTTAAGTTAGTTTTGGCCCATTTTATGACCTTTCTTGCCATTGTTTTAAAGTGAATCACTGCAGTTGTTAAATTAGTAATATGGTTGTAAATGAATCTGGCATATCCATTCAGAAGGTCGCAAAAGATGATCCCATGATCCTAGGACACTGCAACCATCATAAATATGAGACAGTTGTGAATCATTTGAATTTTGATCATGTGACTGTGGCGATGTTGCAATTGTTGTAAGTATGAAAAACGATCATAACGTTTTCAGTGTGGTTGTAACTACAAATGGTCATTACATGAAAGGTTGTAAGTCGAGGACTACCTGTATTCTATATAATTTGCTTCCTGCTTGCTAGCAACCAGTGATATTTCCTCAAAATAATTTAGTGTGATAAAAGATAAAAAACTATTTTAAAAGCTAATAATTGATAACCTATTTTTCGATCAGTTTTCACAAACATTTCATAATCTGCTTTCCTACATAGCTAGTAAGCTATCTTGCCTGTATTAAAAAAAATCTTGGCACAAAACAATAATCATATTGTTCCTGGTGTGTCCAATCACACTTGGCCAATACATTATTCTATTCATATGTAAATATTTGAAACATATAATATTCCTTAGATTTTTCAGCCTCAAAACAGATTTTTAACTATTCTAAAATAGTTCTAAATTAGTTTAACTATTAAATAAATTAGATCCAGACTTGGGTAATTAAAGTAATCTGGATTCATTACTAAAAACCCAATAGTTATAGAGTTTAGGAAAAGAAGCTTACATGTTGTTTTCTCACATACCTGTTGGATCAAAAAACGTGTGTGGGTCATGTGGCCCATCAAGCCCATCCTCATCCATGGCCTTTAAATCTCATCAGTCACAATATCTATAAAATTAAAACAAATGTGTTTTGCAGAGACTTTTAATAAGTGTACCAGACTAGCACATGGCATATATATTGCAATCAAGCTGGCATTGGGGAAAAATTATCATACACTTGAGACTTAAACATTTTGCCCCATTCCTGACTAAACATAAAAAGAATGGCTAATATGTTGGTGTCCCTTCATTATCTCCTATAGCAATGGGAGAATTGCTATAGTATCAGAAAATAATATCAATACCTTCTTTTTAACACTTCATGCTTTTCTCCCTATGCATAAGCATCATGGCATTTTTTGTTGGACTATAATATTTTGATTCTAAAGTACTAACTATTTTTTCAATTTCAGCCATTTTAATATCTAAAACTTCTGGATAATTAAAAACTTTTTATTTGCTTGACTGGCATTGTTGAGTCCTGAATACAGTGTACTAAAATGTATTACCATAGTATCTGGCATACATTCCTGCTTCCATTCATTTTATGCTTGAAATCAGCATTCCCATAAATACATTCTACATCTTTGCTTTCCTGCCTAAATTGTGTATCTTCTGTAGAAGTCTTGAGTAATACTTTCTTTTCTAGTGCAAGTTAGTATTCATCGCATCAACCTTTATTACTTAGAAGTTATTGTCTCACATTTTTTTCAGATGCTTGTTTAGTGATTGCAATGTGTTGTTTCAAAACAATAATAAAATGGTCACTTTTGAGGGTTTTTAAAATCTATAATGATCTAATTTACCTACTTCATATATCACAACAGGGAGAAAACCCTTCTAGGCTGCTTTTCAATCTCTATAATTCAAATTATAAATTATTAGCCATCCTGTGGTAGTATTTATGTGCCACTTGATGATTACTATTATTAAAATTACCATATGAGCAACAGAGGCCACAGGATTTATGATACTTAATTACTAATACATTTATCAGAGCATAGGCTTTCCTTGACTACTTTCTCTGCACATGTGTGCCCTTGGAAGCTTGTTTCTGGTGGGATTTTGGATTTAATTCTGGTGCTTCAGCTGTGGAACCACTGCTTCCTCATGACAGGCTTGCTCCCTCAAGCCTGTCATGCAATCAGCTTTTCTTAATTAATGCAACTGACCTAGAGTCCTAGACTATTATTTTCCACGGTATCTGTTGCCACTGACAGGTGGTTCATGGTTAGGAAGTTATTTTTTGCGGAAAGACAGAACCATCTGGACAAAACCGAACACCTGGCGCTGCAAGCAGCCCTTCCTGTATCAACATAACTGGGAGGGGGAGCTATTTGAATAATCACTCGTGTTCCGTCGGTCATTGTCTGATACTCAGGGCCAGAAGGCAAAATAATAATAGGCAGAAAATGCCTCTGCGCCCGCTGGATATTACGTGAAAAGGAAGAATGTGGCGGGACTAAAGTATGCAGGGCTCGGGAGTAGCCGAGCAGGACAACTGGGCACAAGAAAGGGAGGGAAAGAGGGGAGGGGCAAGTTTTCCCCACTGGCGCCGTCTCCGCCCTGCCCTGCCCGCCTGTAATGGGGACTGTCTGGGGCCAGAAGCGATTAATTCAAGATGGCGTCCGGCACTCTTCCTCAGCCTCCCTTGCCGCCGCCATCTTGTCTCCTCCTAGCAGCGATCCCTCCGTTTCAGGCCTGATTCCACTATCCTCCAACAATGCTTGATCCCCATTCCTTGTGCAATGTACAACAGCCCACCGCATTTCTCTCTCTGGAAGCTGTGCTACAGCTGTCCGACCCACCTGCAAGGCTTCCGGCCCGTTCCTGCAACAAGGAACGCCGCGCGGCCTAGCTGCGGCCTTCTCAAGGCCTGTACCGAAGCAGGCGCCGAGGCCTGGTTCCACGCAGGGGTAAGGGCCTAGCTCGGGCCTGTCCCGTGCTGCTTACCAGGCCGGGCGGTGGCGGCGGGCTCTGGGAGGCCTTTCTCCGCGTAGCTGGGCCGATCTCGGTGGTAGTGTCGCGGCGGCGGGGCGGGCGGGCGGGCGCGAAGGGGAGGGAGGGGCCGAGCTCGGAGCTGAGTGGAAGCGGCCAAGCTCCCCGGGCCGGGCAGCCGTCAGCACGTCACGTCACTGCCCGTGGGAGACCCAGGGAAATGCGGAAGGAGTTCCCGGCTCCGCTGCTGCTTGAGCCGCCTGCTCTTCGGCCCCGGGCCAGGCCAGACCGGGCGCGCGACCGAGAAGGAACCGGGACGGGCCGAGTGGATGAAGTAGAAGGGCGGTGGGTCCCCGCCAACCCCTTCCGCTGCAGCTGCCGCTTCTGCCGCCGTCTCCGTTCCAACTCGGCCGTAAAATTCCGCTCCGGGCTCAGACTTGCTCAACTCGGCGCCGGGGAATGAGGAGTTGTTTAGGCCTGGAAAATCCCCAACATTTTGGGGTGGCTTCTCCACAGGCATTGCCCTGGGCACCCCCGCCTCCCAAATCGTAATACATCCCCCTCGCTTGCCGAAAATAAATTTATCCACAGCCTTTTGGAAAATGAAAATAAGAGGTACCCTATTACGGCATTTTTAATGAAAGTATTGTCCCGCTATCTCTTCCCTTCGCCTCCCCTTCTTCATTTGACGAAGAACATATATTTTTCTTACATAGGAAGCCAGGAGAATGAAAGTACAGTGCTTTAAGACCGGTTCATATATATTAATCGTTTTGGTGAATGCAGTTATCTACCATGTTTTTTGTTTCTGGTTTTATAGGGAGTCAGGGGTACTTTGTTGTACAGCTACTTTTCCAAATCAGAATGAGCAACGTTAGTTATCAAATACAAAATTTGCGATTATTAGACTTTGGGTGCCAGTGTCTTTTGTTGTGAAATGAATGTTTCAAAATAATTACTCTCGTTTCAGAGTTGCAAACTTAAATTTACTGCATACTTCGTTGTAACAATCTATATTTTGTTAATGACACAATTATAAAACCTTATGTAACTACCTTACATAGGTAGTTTTTACAGGTTGTTTTCAGATATCAAAATCAAATTGTGGATACTTGATATGAGTATGGATCAAATTAAGGCTCATTTCCTTTGGGGCCCCGAAGGTGCAAATCACATATGCATTGCATCTCATTTTATTCTTTGTTAAAAATGTGCCTTAACAGCAGAACACAATTTTGTGTCTTTGCTTTGTGTTAGATGCTATTTTTTATATTTTCTATTAAGCTTAGATAGCATTTTTAAAGTTAAAAAAGTAAATTTCAAGTTGCTAAATTCTCAGGTATGGTATACTCAAACTAGCTGGAGAATTCTGAGAACTGAAATCCATCCTCTGGAAGGGGGATGACAAGGTTAGAGAAGACCTCTCTTGTTATTTTATTTTCTGTGTATCTTCAATTATTAGCAATAAAATACATTACCATGTTTAGTAAATTGTTGTGTAACTTGTTTCCCTAATATTATTTTAATTGCATGGTTTATTGTTTTAATAACATTTGGTTTAATAAAACGTATGATATTTAGGGGGGGACAACATTAAAAGTTGAAGTAGTGAGGAGCAACTATCAATCCTCATAAAGAACATTTTATACACCATAGTTTATGGAATTCTGTGTCACATGATGTAATGTTGAGAATTTAGTTTAGAATTAAAAATAGGATTAAACATGTAGGAAGATAAAGACTGCTATGGTTCTTTATCAAAGTGTCTGCATGAAATCCTTTCAAGAAACATCTAATTGGTTACTTTGCAAACAAAATTCTGACTTAGAGGGATCTTTTGGTCTGATCAGCCAATCTTTTCTTTGTAACCAAATAAAACATATAGTATGTTAATTGAATAAATTGGCTGGTTTGCACAATTTTTATGATACACCAATCAAACATACAAAAATATAAAAATTTATAAAAGGATCAACACAATCACAAAAATGAAGCATAGAGGTAAAGAAAATAAGAGGTAAAGGGGGCTTGGAAATTACATTATGAGCAGTATAGATTTCATCCTACATTGTGCCATTCTTAGCCAATTTTCATGCCTGAAAAGTCCGCAATTCTTGTATTTAAGCTATGAAGAACAGCAGTCATATTAACAGTCCTGTTGATATTGGTTCAAATTCAACTATAACAGGACAATACCACTGTATCAGCAAATGTTAAACTCCCAAATATATATTCAAATGCAAGGTGATTATAATTCTTACTGATACAATAAATAGGCAGTTTTGTACATCCTGGTTTATTTGAATAAAACTTAATTTGTTGTATTAAGATGAACATAACACCTGATTTTTACTTAGTGTTATATGTAAACCAAGCCTTTTTTGTTATCCATTTTCTTCTTTTATTAACCAACAAAAACAATAGTCATCCTCTGTATTTTGGCATAGTCTCCAAGCCTGGAAAAATAATTTGTTTCCGGAAAATCAATATATTTTGGTTTTAGAATTTTTATGATAGAATGATTAATACAATATTTAAAGACAATATAAATTTTCAAGGGATCTCTAGAAACTATGCAACAGGAGGACCAATCCTAGGTTGAGGCTATGTTTTTGTCCCCCAGAAATTTTGTTTTCATGGCAGAAATTCCTTGGAGTCCTATACTGATTCCAGTAAAATGCATGCTAGCTGTGTTTCATAGTTAAATAGATTCACCTGAAAACATTAAGTATTTTCCTAGACCAAAACCTTAAAGGAGACAAGATAAACTGTATCAGAACAGAATTTGACATTTCAAACTATAGGAGAAAATCCAATATATGCAAATTTCAAGGATAGAAAATAGTTAACATTAAACTATTTTTAAACCATCCATATGAACACTTGCAGAGTATAGCGCTGTATTATTCATAAAAAAAATAAAAATGAAAGAAAACAATTCCATATTCTGCTTGAAAAAGTTTTAATATTAAATCAAATGTATTTCATATTGCCCTTCAGGGGCCATTACTCAAGAACTTCACATAAAGCTTACTAATAATGGAATTAGGTTCAGAGCAAATGAGTAATTTTATGCTCAAATAATCTTGCAACTAAAAGGAAAACTACTGGACAATTTTGGGTCCACTTGAAAAGGTCCACTATCTATATTGAAGTCAAAGGTAGCTTGGAAGTGCAGTTTAATGCGAAAATTATTTAACCACAATAGCATAATATATTTCATTTCTAGATCACAATTCATCTGAAATGAAATAAAAACCACTCTACATCCTCCCATGTCAGATTACCTGAAAAGGACTATAATTGCCATGGAGGTCATGAATTCACAAGTTTCGTCAGACTTTCTTCCCAGGATATTTTGGGAGTTCCAGTCCCAATCCTGAGATGACAATCAAGAGCTTGTAGAGTCACTGCCATGCAGGTAAGTAATTAGTATTCCAGCAGTAACACCAGTTTAACAGCTCAATTGGGAAAACTCCCAAATGGTTACTTCTAGATCAGTGCTTACAGCCACTGCTTTTTCTTAGTCAAACTGGCATGGCTGATAAAGGACTAAAAACCACTGTATGCAAATTACTGACAAGGTTATATTCCCACTGTTGTCCAACCTGCTCTCAATAATGCAAGTTAGATTAGTGTGCTTATTAATTCCATATCAAAGATGGATATGTGAGAATTTGCAGAGGAATACATGCTGAAATATGCAGATGTGATATTAAATATCATAGGACCACAAAAGGCAATAAAACAGTTAAGAAAAACAAGATTTTCTATCTGCTGCAAGAATATGGTTGCCTGACAAGTAACAATCAAGAATAGCTCTTTAAATTTTGGCAAGTGACATTGAAAAGTGGAGAAGCTTAAAGTTACCTTGGTAGGATCAATTGCAATCATCAAAATTAATGTATTACCCCAGCTAAACTATTTCAAATAAGTATTCATGTTCTATTAGCAATCCCACAGGATACTGATAGCTAAATGTCATGAATGACTGATACAGTATTACATCATAATTACATTAAACCAGATCTACTGCATCAATCATTTCACTTCTCAACTTACAATTCAGTTATACGGCATTTCTATACAATAATTTTAGCCTTTTCCAAATAATTAAAATAGACAATAATTAACTTCCCTTTTTGGATACTGTCCATTGTGGTTGCAAATATTTTATTTTGGCTGTGTACTTGGAATTATATGCATACTTGGCTGCGTACTCAAGAATTCTCTTGAGGGGTTTAGTTTTTAAAAAAAAATGTTTACTGACAGATAAATAGGATCAGTGGTTTGGGACCATCTAGCTATAAATATACAAGCATTCAATAATATGTAGAATCATATTTGCTGCAAGGTCAAAGTATGGTATACAACAAGAAAGAAAATTCATCTTCCAAGAAAAGTTTATTTAAATTTGTTTCATTGACAAACATTTCAGTTTTTTGTTACTCAATTGCCTGTAAGAGTTAAATGAAAAAATAAGTAATTTTCAAAATTCCAAATCAGATTATGCGCTCTTGAGTTACATTGTTTAAAATCAAATAGTCAGCCCCACACAGTCTCTAAAAAACTGACATAAACACAAAACAAATTTAGTTTTTGTGAAATACTGGAGAATTAGATCCATCTTTGCTAATTTGTTTAATTTATTGCAGATACTGTCAAGAGATTTGATTTTCAATACAATGTGGACATCTGTGCAACAGCTTCCTCACTAAAAATGCATTCCAACTGTATGGAAACACACATCATTTTTTACAAATTGAAGAATTGGCCTTTTGCTTTCAATCATCATCCACAGTAGGCTTGATTGTCACTCCTCTTCTAATTTGCCCCCATCCAATTAAACTGGAAAACAAAAAAAGCAGATTAACTTCAAAACTTCAAAAAATTAGAATAAAAGAAGACCATCTAAATACAAGATATAAGATAACTATGCAAACATTCATAATCATTTCCCATTCCAGATAATTCATGAATCACTTTGGAATACTGGGATTGGCCCTTATCAGAAAAAAAACCCACCACTTGTATCCAGGTAAGTTCTCTCATGAGAGTTAGAATGGCTAGCCACGCAGTAGTAAGTGAAACATGTGAATGACCATGCTTGAGTTATTTAAGTTCTGATGTAGTTAAGCAAATCACGTGACTGTGAGTTGCAATTATTGTCACCTTCCCCATTGACTTCATATCAAAAGCCAGCCAGGAAGGTCACAAATTGTGATTATGTGACTGGGACACTGAGGTGATAAAAAATAGATGCTGCTTACAAAATGCCTGAATTATGATCACATAATCTTGGAATTCTGCATCCATCATAAGTTTGAGGACCAACTATAAACTTACTTTTTCAATGCCATTATGATTTTGAGCAGTTGCTAAGTAGTCTTCAATCAAAGACTACTTGTGTTCCATTTATTTAGCATCTTTGACATTTTATATTTGATAAGATACATCAAGACAAGCAACAACAGTCCTTAGAATAGAGTTGTGTGATATTTTAATAACTGAAATTATTACTATAATAATAAGTTCAATATTTTATTGAACTTAGAATTTTACCATTATAAATAGAAATTGCAATCTCTAAATAGTAGCTCTTATGTTGTTAAAATGTTACATCTGTGCATAAGAAGAGACATCAGGGAACAGAGTTTTGCAAAAAATACAAAAGGAATCTGAAAAATTTATGAAGGAATTTATTTTATTAACTATTATTAAATTTGCCACCCATCTAGTGGTTTGAGGCAATTCTCGACAAATACTTTCAACATCTGTAGAATGGCAGGATGCAAGTATAAATGGAAAACTATTAGGTAGACTAGAAAGGAATATCTATTTACCAGTATGGAAAAACAATGTTTAGTGTGTTTTGGAACATTATGTCAGGTCCAACAAGTTATTAATTAGCATTAAGTATCATGGATTACACCCAGTAGAATAGATACTAACTTTTTATTATCTGCTTTTACCGCTAGAGTCATCCAAAAATTTGTGTTTAGCTTAAAATGTATTTATAGTGATACATTATGTTTCATTTCAAATCAACTTACCGCCAATGTTTTTCAACTCTTCGACTAAGGGCAATTTTTTCTCCTACTTCAGTGCATACAGGATTAGTTAGCACTATTTTGCCCAGATCAGCTTTCACTGCACTGACCCGTCCTCCAGTTGAAAGAGATCCTATGTTTACCATTAGTACTTCATTTTTAGATAATTTTTGCACCTACAAGTAGTAAAAAATTTTAAAGACATGTGCAATTTGTACCATTTTAAATTTGCAAGCATCCCTTTTAAAATACAGAAATTTACAGAATGTCCAGATTTACCAGAAATAACTAACCTTGGCAGCTTTCTTGTCCCCTTCAGTACGGACACCGAGTAATCGCCTCAACAAGAAGTAGGAAATTTCAAGCTCTGTGAATATTTCAGGTAGTGCTTCAACTGCACCTAAAACTTGCCCTACCATTCGATCAGCTCGGCACAAAGTTGGGTCAATCTTGGTACCAACACCTAATAACAAAATATTTTTATTTTTAAAAAGCAATAGGCTTTCAATTGTTAAGTTACTTTTAAATCACCAGACACTATCCAGTGCTTTAGAGTAATATTTATTTAAATTGATCAGTTGGGCCATTGCAATGGATTCTTTTCTTTTTCTTGGATCTTGTAAGAATAATTTAATAATTCTAATGAATTTGCCAAAAATAGAGTTTGCTGCTTAGGCCACATATATGCTTTACTGTTGCAAAGTTTCTTTTATCAGTCTTTTATAATTTTATTTGTAATACTACCTAAATATGTATTTGTAATACTACCTAAATAAATGAATATTATAACATTTGTTGAATTTCAGATGATTTGGAAGACACTAAGTTGTTCAAAACACATTCTCAGAGGAAACAGCGATAGCTAGTAAAGATACAGCTCACAATAAAAATGCATCACTACCAGGAATATAGACTCCTAAACCATAGCAAAACAAACTGGAGTGTTGTAAGAGTTATAGTTTCCTTTCCCCTTCATCCAAGAGCCATTACAGAATGGTGAATGAGCTAAAATTTAAAAACCCTTATGTTTTCCTCTATTGTTGATAGATCTTCATTCTATCACCATGTGTTGTGCTATAAATGAAACTTATTAAATGAAACTGAAAAGTATTCAATTTTAGCTTGTTAATATGTATATAATGCACATATAATACTATAACTACCACTTTAAACATGGTTTTAGAAAATATAGAAACATTTATAGCTGTTGCAAAGAAAGTCTCTGAAACTATATATTCATAGCCAAAGTCTTATCTATCTTGGTATCTTCCATGTTCTCTTAAACATAAATGTAAAACAGACATACCAATAAGGCCTCCTGGTGCAGCATATTGCAAATCATTATGTTCTGCAAACAGAGATACAATTTTGGAGAAAATAGGCTTGCACATAAGTTTTCCTTCACTATCCTTTGAGACAATGCCAGGTCTCACCTCTAGTTCCTGGCCAACCTAATAATAAAAGATATAAGAAAGGAAGATTATTACATATCAATCTTTATATAGTGCATTGGTAATGGATTTTATAGCCAATTCTCTCTGTCAGTTCACTATAGCCATTGTTTGCACACGCTTATGTAGAACACTGGTTTTCTCTATAATGTGTCCAGATACACTAATGGTTAATTTCAGAAGCAGTGGGAGTGCTTGTTTTTCCCCAATCATCATTTTATATGATAAGCATCACAGAAATTAAGCATCTTAAGAAATTAAGGCGATACCATAAATAATGGAGAGTATGGCATGGAGATCATTGCTCCAAACACCAAGCATTCCAGAGATCACAACAAACATCTTGAAACAATGTCATTGATTCCATTCTTGGGCTATTTCCATTCTCAGATTCACAAGAGAGGACTAATGATGAGCAACCAGCAGCAAAGCAAAGTCAGAAATGCTAGCTGATGATAAGCAGACTGTCATGTTCCGTGTATCCAGCACCAAGAAACCTCACGCAACAGTTTTTGTTTGAAGTGTTTTATCCTGGAAAGCTTGGAAACCGGGCACTGAGTGACATACAAAGTCAGCATTACCCACGGCATTTCCGCCACATCTTAACATCCCCATGCCCGTGCCTACCCCACACCCTTGGCTTCTGGACACTGCTAACAGCCTGGAATCTTTGGCCATGTCTAGACCAACACTCAGTTGCTGGCCTGCTCTCCATGCTGCAGCTGGTTGGCGCTTTGCTTCCCAGTTGATCAGCTCCGACACACAGCTGATCCATTTGCTGTAAACCTCCCAGCTGATCAGCACAGCCACTCCATTTTCAGCCTCCCAGCTGATCAGCACAGCCACTCCATTTGCCAGCTGATCAGTGCAGCTCCCAGTCATGCCCCTGCATCCTCTCTCTGAATGGCAACTGTGAGACGGCTCGCCAGAGGCTTGCTGTTTCGGGGGGTGACACAGACAGCTCCAGCACCACCAAATGGACTTCCATTTGAATTAGCCAAAAGAGGTAAGGCAAAACAACACAGAAGTCACAGATGCCTTAGCTTTCTGAAAATGAGGATGTGGAATTACCACTTCCTCCCAACACAACAGTTTGGTGGTCTGCAAAGAGTGTAGAACAGGCAATAGAGCTCTCTATTAACAACTGCCTGTTAAATCCCATTCCTTGTAGCTTGACTTGCAAAACTTTACAACCCTGATTTTGAGCCTGGAAATGCCAACCACAAGCTTCGATCCTTGGACTTCGCTTCACTACTTTCTTGTATGCTGCTTTGATACGGAAACTTCTAAGCCAAACTTGTTGAACTTGAGGGGGACAGGAGTGGGAATTTGTCTCTATACTGCAAGTGCCTTTGTTTGCAATCCTCATTTAGTAAAGAGAACAAAATTATATATGTGTGCACACATGCGTGTGCACACACACGGCCTGGGACAGGACAGGAGAGTTACTGTCAAAAACATAAATTTATACTATTATTATATCTAAACTTATGGACTTTGATTCATCCAACAGGATTTAGTTTTAATCTCATAGCCTTCATTTTCACCAAACAAGTTCTGGAGAATCCCTCAACTCCCACATACTGTGTTTCCCCAAAAATGTGACATGTTATGATACTAAGCCCATTCAGGCTTTTCAGGGCATTGGCTAAAATATTCTCCCCCCAAATAACACCCCCCCAAAACTACTAAAACACATGCACAGCCAGTCCCCACCATTTCCTCTAGTTGCTTTCGGAGGGAGGGAAGGGGGGGAGATGCCCCATACACCCCACATACCATTACCGTACCTAACAGTAACGGTGATGTTTGTGCAAAAAGAGTGCCTGCCACAAAAAGAGCATCCGCTGTGCCTTGCGCCCCACCTGCCACACCCCAAATTGCACCCCAGTGCAAGACACGCATCTTACCGGACACTGGCACCTATCTCGTGTCTCTTGGCCAGTTTGTGCAGGGAAACACCTTGCACAGTAAGGAAAAAACTTATTGTGAGTGCAAACAATTAAGAACTTCTTGAACTCGTGAGAAGTTTTTTCTTTACTGTGCAAGGTGTTTCCCTGCAGACTGGTCGAGAGACATGACAGAGCTGCCAGTGTCCAATAAGATGTGCATCTTGTGGCCCACCGCATCCCAACTGCCACCCCCCAAATCGCACCCTAGCACGAGACCCGCATGTTACTGGACACTGACAGCTCCATTGCGTTTCTCGGCCAGTCTGCAGGCAAACACATTGTAAAA